TCGCTATAGTGTGCGCAGACCGAGAAACTCTCTCTCAGACCTCCCGAACAAGCTTTCGGCTGACCTGAACTGCCTCCTGGCAGCTCAGGCCGAGCCTACGTAACACATCCCTTAACCTGCCTTGGTTAGGCACTAGTACTTTTCGCCGCTTGCGCCCTCCTTTCTGCCAAGGAGGGTCGCGTTCGTTTACGGCTTAAAGATCTCTCGTCAGATCAGTAAGCCAATCCCGTTATCCCAGTTTAGTGGGTAAAAGTCTCCACATAACCACGCAGCCGGCTGCGTGGCATGCTATGAGCATTCACTGCCTCCCTCCTCCGTTACCGGAGGGTTGCTCTTAATTGCTTCGGGCGCAAAAAAAAACTGCGGGAAGTGCAGCCCCTTCGTCCTTGCGTAGGCGGTCGGGGGCTGCTCTCCCTCCTCGCCTACGGCTTTACAAAAACACTCTAGGGGTAGGGCAGACAAGACCACGTAGAGTGGGGGGTGCTGATTCGGTTTTAGAACAGATTCCAGACCAATCATCTAATTATCCGTGTTTTCGCAATATGTCTACTTATATGTTTTCCGAAAATTCGGTTTATCCAATTATCCTACGACAAGATTCGACCGATCATTTAATTATCCATGTTTTCGCGATATCCCTAGATTTTTTCCGAAAATTCGGTTTATCTAATTATCCTACGACAAGATCGACCAAATAATCCATGTTTCGCGATATCCCTAGATCTTTTCCGAAAATGGGTTTATCTAATTATCCTACGACAAGATTCGACCGATCATTTAATAATCCATGTTTTCGCGATATCCCTAGATTTTTTCCGAAAATTCGGTTTATCTAATTATCCTACGACAAGATTCATGATCATTTAATTATCCATGTTTTCGCGATATCCCTAGATTTTTTCCGAAAATTCGGTTTATCTAATTATCCTACGCACATGTATACTATGTATGTTATTACTCTAAGATCTAAGACCTATATCAGCTGCCCTTACTATACGAGCCTACCCAACCAGCAAAAGCCTGCAAAATAGTTAGTTTTTAACCGACTTCAAAATAGGAGGAGGTACTCAATGCGACTGTATATTTTTGTGTGTTACTTCATAACTTTTTATAGGTGAACCAATTTTGATGATTCTTTTTTATATGAAAGCTGGTGCTTCTCACGTAGTCCCAAAGTCCACAGTTCAAGTGGGTTGTACAAAATTTTTAATTTTACCAATTGTTATAGAATAAGGGTGACAATCAAACACACAGTTCACCTGATGGGAAGTGTATACTGTGGCCCACAGACAAGTCCTCGGTTCAGAATCAAAATCATCAGCATTTTCACGTTGTCACTCCTAACGACTAAAATGGAATGCCTCGTATGCATTAAGGACGCGTTTGCAAATCAACCAAAATTAGGGTGTTTGTGACAAAACTAAACCAAATCAAATATAAGTAAAAACTACCATGTATAGATTGGTTCTTCATCTGCAAATGTCTGTAACTCTTTTGTTGAAAATAGTAGTTTTTTATATTGTAAAAACGAACTTTCGTTGCCATTTTCTACAAAATTAACGATACCGGCTTGTGTTTCGGTATATGTTTTGGTCTATTATCAACATATTTAAAAAATTTAAAAAATACTATAAGATGACAGACATATTCAATTAAAAAACCCTGAGTTTATTTTTTAACAAAATGTCACAAATAGTCGTAAAAAAAATAAAAACTGATGCACATTTTTTCACATATTTTGGTAATACGGATGAATCATAATGTATTGCAATAAGGGCTATTTTATTGTTGGTGCCTGCTTTGATTTATTGTACAAAGATTTCGATGAAACCACAGTCCGCGCTCGGCCGCTGTCGTGAGTGGACACTGTATCGCCTGTTTGCAGTGGCTCATTCTGAAAAGATCGCTGTACATACACAAAATATTAGAAAAAAAACAAATTGGAAACATAAGTACTTGACAAGTGATAAAATTATTATTTTTATACTCACAGTTTTTTATTTCGCTAAAAATAAGTAGGATATATAAACTTACCTACTACTGCAACTCCTGGACGAGCGGAACTAGGTGTGCCGAGTTTGGGCTCGTTTTGTTGGTTATGATGAGACCTTACCTCCGCACTTGATGGTGTGACCTGAAGGTGTACTTTCGCGACCGCTATTTGAACTTCTTGTAGAGTAAAACTAGGTGTGCCGAGTTTGGGCTTATTTTGTTAGTTATGATGAGACCTTACCACCGGACTTGATTGAGTGACCTGAAGGTCTAAATCGGTGATTGCAACTGGAACTCCTAGACTGGTAGAACTAGGTGTGCCGAGTTTGGGTTCGTTTTGTTAGTTACGATGAGACCTTACCACCGGACTTGATAGAGTGACCTGAAGGGGTAATTCAGTAACTACTGCTGGAATTTCTGAACGAGTATAACTAGGTGTGCCGAATTTGGGCTTCGTTTTGTTAGTTATGACGAGTCCATACCTCCGGACTTGATGGAGTGACCTGAAGGTGTAATTCAGTGATTACAAGTGGAACTCCTAGACTTGTAGAACTAGGTGTGCCGAGTTTGGGTTCGTTTTGTTAGTTACGATGAGACCTTACCACCGGACTTGATTGAGTGACCTGAAGGTGTAATCAGGTGGTTACAAATGGAACTCCTAGACTAGTAGAACTAGGTGTGACGAGTTTGGTTTCGTTTTGTTAGTTACGATAAGATCTTACCACCGGACTTGATGGAGTGAAATTCCGCACACCTAGTTCTACTGGTTCAGAAATTCCAGCAGTAGTTACTGAATTACCCCTTCAGGTCACTACATCAAGTCTGGTGGTAAGGTCTCATCATAACTAACAAAACGAACCCAAACTCGGCACACCTAGTCCTACAAGTCTAGAAGTTCCACTTGTAATCACCGAACTATACCTTCAGGTCACTCCATCATGTCCGGTGGTAAGGTCTCATCATAACCTACAAAACGAACCCAAACTCGGCACACCTAGTTCCACCAGTCTAGGAGTTCCAGTTGCAATCACCGATTTACACCTTCAGGTCACTCCATCAAGTCCGGAGGTATGGACTCGTCATAACTAACAAAACGGAGCCCAAATTCGGCACACCTAGTTCTACTCGTTCAGAAATTCCAGCAGTAGTTACTGAATTACCCCTTCAGGTCACTCCATCAAGTCCGGTGGTAAGGTCTCATCATAACCAACAAAACGAACCCAAACTCGGCACACCTAGTTCCACTAGTCTAGGAGTTCCTATTGTTGTAATCACCAAATTACACCTTCAGGTCACTCCATCAAGTCCGCAGGTAGGTAAGGTCTTATTATAACTGACAAAACCAGTTCAAAGTCCAGAGCTAACATCTCACTACCAGTAGAGGGCTTCCAGTGCCAAGCAGTCTTTGGAGCAGGTATTCATATTTCGTATCGAAGTATATTTCTGAGGTAGGTATAAGAAATGAAAAACAAATTCAATCTTTCAAATTATCAAAATAATTTCATTTGACTACGATTCCCACAGCCAACCGTGCGTACACTAGTGTGTGTGTGACTTTTGTCAATGTAGTAGTGCGATTCTATACCTATCCATTTTGTAAACGCGTCCTTAAAAGGGGTCTCCGGTTCAATACACTGAGTGGACGAAACACAGCAGCATTAAGTTCCTATTTTACGGTGGTAATGGTATTCTGTTAGAGCGTGATCCTTTGGCGGTCAATTCGACCCATTCGTACTACAACCACAACACAAGTCCTATAACGTAAACGTTCACTCATGTTTTTGTCGCAGTTATAGGTATATTAATATATGATATATATTTAGGAATATTATATATATAACATATATACATAATATCGCAATTTATATACATACTTGACCATTTGCTCGGAATTTTTCGCTCGGTTTTTTTTTTATTCGTGTGTTTTGGAAATTATATTAATACAAATTACATACTGATGAAATATGAAGAATATTTTTTGATCTTAGCGACATAATAGAAAAAACTGAACCGGTTATTTGAATAAAAAATCATGAGTGCAGTTAGTATTAATTTAAAAATATCGTGTCTTTGACATAAAAAAATAACACTAAAAAGTAAAAATACTTTTGTAAATAATTCAAGATTGGAATTTTTTTATAACTCAGATTAACTTATTGGTAATTTCCAAAAAATATTTTCATGGGACCAAAATAATTCCTCCATACCATTAACATTTAGGAAAATAATATGCTTTCTAATTCTATTTAGAAATTTAATTAGATCAAAAACTCTTAGAAGTTGTGATGACAAAGAGATAGAACGAAATAATTACGGTTTTTTATTCAAGCGGAACCCTAAAAAGCGGTATAAAAATTGCACAAACACAGTCTTTTAGATTAATAAATAATATACCGATAAAACTGCACATTTAAGAATTTAAAGGAAGTTTTTTTAACTAAAAAATGTAAATCAGAGATGCTACTTTAATTATGTGACAAAATTTATATGTATACTCATTTCATATAATATATTATACCAATTGGAAACATAACACGTTTAAGGAATTATAATACAAAAAAATAAAAATAAATGAAATAAGCAATGGGTGAATAATATGATGAGCACAAATAAATTAACAATTGAAGGTCATACGATGTTTACGTTTATTCGTAATCTTTTTTATTCATGATTAGTGAAAATTGAATAAGACAATCTAAATCTTAAAAACAAAATGATATTATCCTTGAGCTTATAGTGGACCTTATTAGTAGCTTATAATTGACCGTATAATTCTCTCAATTCCTATGGCACGACGCGTAGGTACCTATTATTTGTTATTTCGATCACTTTGATGCACGAAACTTTCCAAGAGAATACAAGCAGCAATCGCAACGTTTTAGAAAAACGAAGCCTCTTCGACAATTATGATAAGTGAACGAGAATAAACGTAGTTTGATACGCTTACATACACACACATACATAATCCATAAATATGTAACCTTAATCACAATAAAAAAGTGACTCACTAGACATTTAGAGAACTCAACACTTTAACCAAGGTGTACATAAAATACGAGCTCAAGATAGAAACACGTAAACCACGGCCGAGGCGGCAGTTTATACTGTTGAATTGAATGTTGATGTCGTAGGAACTAGGTACGTTCCTCTTAGAGAATATCGAATCGATGTACGTTTTTTTAAAAATGTATTTAATACTTTATTAGCTAATAATCCATTTAAATAAGAAAAAGAGGGCTCTACTCTACTGTCATTTGACTAGCAAGTTCAGATCAATAAGATATCCGAATGGACATTAAGTGCATTAAATGGGCTAACAAAGTGACAATGCATTTTTATTAGTGTATAGGCGTGGATTTCTTGTGTTATAGTTATGAAGTTATTATTACTTTTAAATTTAGATAGTTCAACTTTCGTATTTCAAGATACTATCGATTTCAATACAGACAGAGACTATCGATATTTTCATTTGACAGCACTCTTTAGGCGTAAGGTCAAAGGATGATGTCAGCGCCGGACCGGGACTAGCAAGGACTGCTATAACAGGGGTAGCGAACCTTTATGTATCAACGTACCATTTTTTAAAGAAATGTTTAATGAGGCCATGACGACCCGTAAAATAATTTTGACTTCGTGAATTATTGGGAATAATAATGCTAAATATGTGCTATCAACTCAAAACTCTTTATTTACTACAAAAAAAAAAAACATTTTTCAAGGTATAATAAATAATGTTTCACTTATACGCGTAATTCACATTAATAACTACAATAACAAACGAGCGAGCATTTCACGCCCGCCGCCTTCGATTTGTACACTCCATAACTCCATATCGTAGGATCACTCGCGTTCGTTTTAAATAAATAATACCTACTTCATAGTGAACTTTGTGATCGGTGGCGTGCCCAAAATATTGTGCCGCGTGCCATCGATGGCACGTACTATAACTACGCTCCGGTGATGTCCCACGCTCGAATTTAAATACTTGTATCTCTTGAAATCAATTTAATAGTTTTTGTTTGCGTGCGACCATACGTGTGGAAAGAAATTTCTCTGCGTTATTATATTTTTAGTATTCCCCCAATCATAGCGTCATCGTTTTAATAACTTATAGGCGATTATTTGGTAGTTGATTCAATTTTACAATTGGACCCCATGATATCTTTATTACTTATACCTACGTTGTATGGCAACAAACCCACCGAAAAAATGTTCCAAACCCAGCCGTCCCAGCGGTAGTACATTTTTTTAAAGTAAGAATTTAGTCTTGGATTCTTGTCCTTTAACCATGTCTTCATTTTATTCGGGATCTACGTTTTTGTGGGTTTTTTATTCACAATATGCTGATGCGTCACATTGCTAAGTTTTTGGAAGATTTTAACGACAGCCCAACCTAGTGGACAGACGATGACGACATCCACTTAAGTTCAATAGGCACCTAAGCGATCATATTAACTTGAGGTTTATTTATATCAACATCGAAGCACCTGTTTCGTCGTTTTCTCTAACGGCGCCTCTACACGTTGGCCAACACAGTGGCGAATGTAGCGGCCAATAGCATTGGCCAACGTGTAGACGGGGTGTTTGGACTTCATTGGTATATATTGGAACAATGGCCCGCAAGTTAGCGCGAGATCCGTGTGGTGTCGGTTTTTTACAAAAGATCAAAGGATTGTTGGCAGAGTTTGGTCGCCGCGTGCACACGTTGGCAGCGAGTTTAGTTTGCTACAAGCTCCCAGAGTGATTACACGCATCGGATTAAAATTTTATATACACGCTTTGTAGGGGTGGATGACCCAATTTCTAGCCTTTTAGTGCCAATTTCAAGTTTAAATATTCCTACTACTTTAATTGGCACGATTTAATTATTTTTAAACATTTATTTTAATCGATAAGCTATTTATCAAAAAAATTATCATTTGTTTACAATCAAATTATTACGAGAACAATTTTAAAATAAAAAAAATGAAGCACGTCGTTTATACGTGGTAGAACCATGCAGATATATTAGAAGTATAGTTGTAGTACGAATGGGTCGGTTCGACCGGGGAAGGACCACGCTCTCACAGAATATCAATGTAAAATAGTAGCTTAATGCTGCTGTGTTTCGTATAGTGAGTGTAGAGAACCAGAGACACTTTTTAAAGGAAACGAGGCATTTCATCTTAGTCCTCACGGGTGACAACGCATCTGCATTTTGATTCGTAATCGAGGATAGATGTAGATGTCTATGGGCCACAGCAACCACTTACCATCAGGTGAACTGTGTGCTCGTTTGTCACCCTATCCTATATAAAAAAGCGTCGATTTTTTATAATTTAATCGTGCAAATTTTCGAATCATCATCATCATTACAGCTCTTCACAAGTCCACTATTGAACATCCTCCTCCAAAGAATGCCGCAGAGCACACTCCTGAGCCACTTTGCTTGTCATGAGTTTTTCATTTACTTTCTAAGTTATAATTAGTACCTATTATTAAGTCAGTGTTAATTATATTTATTGCTATTGTTTTTGTCTTTCCCAAAAAATAATTAAATTACCAAATAAAGTATAAGGTGTTTTTTTATATACATCAAATGTCTGATAGAAAAGCAAGTACATGTTTTGCTAAACTTTAAAAACAAAACCCAATTTAAAACATAGACTAATCGATTATAACTCCTATAACTTTAAAATAAGTTAAGTTCTAATTAATGGTATTTATTCCAGTTTCTGATTCATGTAAAGAATAAATAAAGTTAATCGTATATCGTATATCTATTTACAGCCCCATTAATATTCACTATTCTTTTATAATTATTTTATAAAAACGTTACCCCCCACACTTGGATTTTCTCCTGTATCGCGGAGGCAACTTACAAACATAAATTGTACAAGGACACACATCCAGACCCGAAACTATTATTTGTAGGATATACAAATACTTGTTCCGTGCGGGATTCAAACCCGCGACCCCTGGCACAGCCACTCATTGCCAAGCCACTGCGCCACGGAGCCGTCGTCTAAAATAAAATAAATTCGTCCGCACATTGGCCCGAACCGAAGTAAACTGAACGACCTTCCAACGTGTGGACGCCGTCACCAACTCTCGGCCAATATATTCGCCACTGTGTTGGCCAACGTGTAGAGGCGACAACAACACTTACCTAATACCTACACGTAAGCGCATCGCTTTGACGTACCTATCAAAATTAACTTCAAAACATTATTTAAATAATAAAACAGGAGCAGAGCAACAATCCGTTGACGGTCAAGTTCCCGCCAAAACCTCCAGCAGCAACACTATTTTTGTTTTACCAGAAAAAATTAAGAGTACTCACATTTTACTACATTCTCTCTCACGCTTCGTGTTCTTATCACACCAGGTCTAGAACGACTATTGTTGCCTTTTTCTTTATGCTTACGTAATCATGGCGTCATATTTGTTACCAAGGACGCTTCAGTTTTGGCGTGCTAATAAGGTTTCTACCTTTAAATATATACCTGGTTTCTCTTTATATATATACATATAAAGTAACTGGCCAGGCAGACTGTGTTCAGAAAATATTGAGGGTGCTAACTTATCGTTATAAAAACTATCCTATACCTATATCTCAAGTTGGAGCAAGCAATAGGTACACAATTTACAAAATTTCATTAAATTCTGTTGAGTGGTTTTGGAATTCATCGCGGAGCGGACAACGTGACACGTAATTTTTATAGGTATATAAAATATATCATTAAACATTATAACTTGTAAACCAAAAATACAAATATTGCCGTGTAGTGGCGGTTAAGAATATCCACTACCCCATATCTTCCCGTGGGTGTCGTAAGAGGCGACAGAGGGAGACAGGCAGGAGATGGGCAGCAGCGTCTTCCTGATGACAACTGTGACGTAATAAAAAACTGCGGTTGCCAACCCGCTCGCCAAGCGTGACAACTATGGCAAATACCCCCCAATGAACAAATACACAAACAGACGGCCCCCAGTTCCCGGCGGCCCCGCTATTCCTGGCTACGGTGGCGACCATGGTAACGGCGGGGCAGGGGGGTGCTAAGAATCTCCGGTGGAGGTTCGGTTGCCACCTACGACGACTCGACCTGGCAACATATAACGCACGCACCCTGAGGACTGACGAGAAGATACTGGAGCTGGAAGAAGAGGTAGACAAGTTGCGCTGGCATATTATTGGATTATCCGAGGTCCGAAGAGAGGGGGAGGACACGGCAATCCTCGAGTCCGGCAACTTGTTCTATCACCGGGAGGGCGACCATCTGTCCCAAGGAGGTGTCGGATTTATCGTCCACAAATCTCTCGTCAACAACGTTGTAAAGATTGGGAGTGTGTCGACGAGGGTCGCGTACCTGATACTCAGAATCACCAAACGGTATTCGCTGAAGGTCATTCAGGTTTACGCACCAACCTCGGCACATCCCGATGAGGAGGTGGAGGAAATGTATGAGGATATTTCCAGAGCCATACATTCCTCCAGAACCTACTACACGGTGTTGATGGGAGACTTCAACGCAAAACTGGGCACAAGAGAAAGCGGTGAGCTGAAGGTAGGGAAATTTGGAGTAGGGCAACGGAACCGAAGGGGCCAGCAGCTGGCCGACTTTATGGAGAAAGAGGGACTCTTTATGATGAACTCTTTCTTCCAGAAGCGGCCCCACAGGAAGTGGACCTGGTCGAGCCCCGACGGTTCGACAAAAAATGAGATTGACTTCATTATGACGACCAGACGCCAACTGTTCAGTGATGTCTCAGTGATCGCAAGGGTGAAAACTGGCAGCGATCACCGAATGGTTAGAGGCACACTGAACCTAAACGTTAAGTTGGAGAGGTCTCGTCTAATGAAGTCAACGCTCCGTCCCCCTCGTGCTCTAATCCAGAATCCCGAAACCTTTCAGCTCGAGTTACGTAACCGCTTCCAGTGCCTAGAAGATTGCAATGCAGTGGACGATATGAACGACAAGCTCGTGGAAACTGTCCATGCGGTCGGAGCTAAGTTCTGTAAGACCCGCCGCAGA